TATATATATATATATATATATATATATATATAAGGGCACGCTAAAAAGTGAAAAGTTCTCAGCTCAAGCTAAAAACTTGACAAAAAAGTCAAACATCAGGTGTTTTACGGAAAGATTTAGATTTCCTGATGAGGGTGAAGATTTTCGGCTTGCCATAGTGTGTGTGTGTGTGTGTGTGTGTGTGTGTGTGTGTGTGTGTGTGTGTGCGTGTATTTAATTGATACATGTTTCATTAAATAATATAGACAAGTGTTGTCTATTTATTTTATGTAAATTCTTTTCATAACGTCTGATAAGCTTAATAACATTATCATTAAACGCAGAAAGAAAATCACAATATTGATACATATTTTTTAATCCTATCTTAGCTTTCGGCATACATATAAGCCATTATCAAAGATGACAATTACAGTACAATATTAAGCAATACACGGACAAGAATGTGATGATAGTCTGTTTCTGTTTGCATGGATGATTTCCAAGCAACGATAAACACGTGCATATAAAACGCTGGAAGCGAAAATCGCATCGCAGCTCATGACGTCACACATGACCACGCGAGAGTGAATTCGAGAAGTATTAAGTATGGGAAGCCGTTGGTATAAACCAATGTCTTCTGTTACCAATTATAGGCATTTAAGAATATTTGTGGAGATATCATGGTTTATTTTGTTCAGGTTAGGTTTCAACTGTTTTATGTATATAGCTTTAAGAGTTTTTAATTTTTGTTTATTGTTTTCATGTTTGAGTAGAGTTGTGTTGTCAACAAGGATTTTCCGGAATTGGGTACGCGGCCAGGCATGTTGTTTTCAATGCCTAAAAATGTTAGAGTTATCATTTAAATGTAGAGTTAAGCGTCGTGAAAGCGAGTTTGTGGCGTGGCCAACATAAATATTATTTAATTCGTTGGAAATACAATCTCCGAAAGGACGCTTGAATTTGTAACCTATGTTTGTTTTTTGCAAATCGCTAACCGGGGGAGAAGAATCATTGCGAATGATTGAGTTGGATATACTAGATTTAGTGTAGTATATGATTAACTTAACTTTTTTGCTAGGATCTGTTATAGATATATTAGTATTTACTAATTCTTTTAGTATATTTTCATCTTGTTTATAATTAGTATGCATTTGATTACGATATAGGAGATTAATATGTTTAGGATTAGTAGAAACAGTATTATGTACTATTTGCTTAGTATTGAGATTTCTAAGAAGCATCATATTTGTTCATCAACTATATAGTTTGGAAAGCTATTATTAATAAGTGTTTGTTTTCTATTCTTTAGTTCACTGTAAAAAAATCTGTTTTGTGGATGAATTAGTTTCTGCATGATATATTAGATTCTTTATAATTGCTATTTTGTAGTAATATGGGCATTCGCTCTTGTAGTTAAGTGTACATGAATTTATGCTAGGATTTTTGTATGGCGAAATAGTAAATTTGTTATTATTTGTGTTTATCCATATATCAAGGAATGGAATTTTATTATTAGTATTGAGTTCATACGTGAATTTAAGGACAGAATTATTTTGGAAACGTTTTTGAAGTTGAAGTATTTCATCTGTATTTTTAACTAACATGATGATATCATCAACGTATCTTAGGTAGATGGATGGTTTTATAAAATCTATAAATATCTTATTTTCGAGGTTCGTCATGTAGAAATTTCTAAATGTCGTAATGATGTCTCCATGGGTTCAGTACAGGGTCCAACATTTAGCAATTTCTATATTATGATCTAAGAAATGGACTTCAGTAGTACAAGATAATAGTATTTTCTGTAATATATTAGGATTAATTTTAAATGAGGGTAAAGATGAGTTACTGTATATATTTCTTATAATTATGTCAATAGTTTCACTAACAGGGACATTGGTAAATAAGTTTTCAACATCAAGTGAAGCTATGGGTTCATTGTTGGGTTTTTCACTTTTTAGGATTTGGATTACTTCTAATGTTTACTTAACTATATATTTACTAGGAAGGTAGGGAGTAATGCTTAGAGAGGATTAAACAAATATGTATCAATATTGTGATTTTCTTTCTTCGTTTAATGATAATGTTATTAAGCTCATCAGACGATATGAAAAGAATTTACATAAAATAAATAGACAACACTTGTCGATATTATTTAATGAAGGATGTATCAATGAAAAAATGCTGCCTTAATACACCCAATATATATATATATTTGTTTATGTGTGTGTGTGTAGTTTAAAATTGGGTTAATTTATCAGAAATGGTCAATGCATATATAGACACTGTGGATGCAGGAATCTATACTGCATGATGACTGTTAGTTTCACACTTTATATATATATATATATATATATATATATATATATATATATATATAGTTTATGCAAAACTAGGTGATCCGTATGGGTAGACACAAGGAGGATGATATCCGGAGCACAATGTAAATTCAGAGCAAATATGTTTGAATAAAAAAACAGACCACTTTAAGGTTCCATGTAATAAATTATTTCACCACAGCCCTTTTAAAGGGCTCTGGATCATCAGACTTTTACTTCCAAAGGTTGAAATGAAAAATGATTTCATTTCAACCTTTGGAAGTAAAGTCTGGTGGTGAAATAATATATTACATAGAACCTTAAAGCGGTCTGTTTTTTATTCAAACAAATATATATATATATATATCTATATATATATATATATATATACAAAAGCGATAAATATATGAACACAATAGATTGTACCTCTTGGCATTTCACGACGTATCCGTTCTAATTAACCAGAGCCTTTACTCTCGGAGCATGTCCAGTACGCACTTGCGCACGCACACACACACACACACACACACACACACACACACACACACACACACACACGCGAGCACACACACACACAGATATATATGTGTGTGTGTGTGTGTGTCAGATTTTATATTTACATACACTATTTTAATATATTAAATAATATATTTTTTTAATCCTTTTTATCTCTGTATATTTGCTCGCTTAAGTTATATTTCAGTAAGTGCTGAGCATTTATGTCATGACACTTACAGTCTTAAATATTTATTGGTTGTTGTATCCGATTGTCTGGGTCAATGTCTGTGGATGTGTGTGCATGTATTTATAATTGTCTATGTGTATGAAAGTGCATTCACTAATAGTGTATGTATGTACGTGTGCGTTGATTTCTTTCTTTTTTTTTATACGATCGTGGTGATGTTCTCTGTCTCGTCTCTTTTTTTGTGTGTGTATATATATTTAAATATGTCTGGGTGCTTATATATTATAATCTGATTGCGTTTGTTTTACGCGTGAGAGATTTTAGCTCGGATGGACCCGAAAGTATTACCCAGTGAGGATCGAACTCACTATTTAGTCGTAATTGTTTAAAAATGGATACCACCACCTCGAGGTGCCCTTTACGCGTGAGTTTAGGACACACTCTTAGGATTAAAATGGATACATTGTCAAAAGACCGGATATAAAATTAGCTAAAGTAACTTCAATGAAGAAATAAATTGAATAACATAATTTTATAGTTGTAAACTTAATAGCGATTAAATTTTGATCTTGAAATTAGCAGTTTTTAATTTTAATATTAAATTTTATCATATAATTTAGTAATTATTGGTTAGAATAAATTCTTTTTTAATACCACCCATATTTTAAATATTTGAATAGCTATTATAACATGACTTCGTTGTCAAGCTTTTTGAATTTTCCTATACTTGTATTTTGATTGGTCCATCTAGCTTTTGTAACAACGTTTTCCCCTTGAGAAGGATTGTTAATTAATTCGAAACTTTTAAAACCATTTATTTTACATTCAACATCATCACTTGATAAGACACTGAGAGTGTTGAAACAAAATGGCTATTTTTGTAGTGATTTTATAACATATTTATGTTATAAATTTTTTTAAATAAATAATTATATCTGCTTTACTTTGTATTGAGCACTCTTTTAAGAATAGTATTTGGTGGTTATTGGAATTCATTCCGTATATACCAATCATATACTTGATATATATATATATATATATATATATATATATGCGAAGTTGAACGTACTGGCCTTGTTTAGCTGTTGATTCTGCCATATTATGCACTCGCCTCCAAGAAACTGTAACAAATAAAGTTAATAGCAACCGGAAAACTTTGATGTTCATGGATTTTCTGGCAAACAATTCCGTGTAATTATGAAGCGTGCGCTACACTCAGTCTACGATAATTTCAGTAATTCAATATTTTCGCAAAATATGTTAAGAATGGAAAGCAGAAAAAAATGAAGTGTGGTATTATGCCGGAATAGGCTTGGCTTCAATTTCCCACCAGATCGTGAAAGGAAGCCAGATGCAAAGTTGAGCTGAGTAGTGACCACACACCTGCATCCATTCGTGTAAGTACTGGCCAGATGGATTGTACAGAAGAAAATAGCTTTTTTGAATGCCTTTCCACTGTAAGAGGCCGGTACTGTAGGTCATTGAACATGCAAATATGTTTCACTCCCAGCCAAGCGTAAACGGCTTAAACGTCGCCGAGATGAGCAGAGGGCTTTAAAAACTATTGATTTTTTCTTCTGCGGGTTGGTAGAAAACTACCCTTGGGTGGCTACGAGTGAAACGAAATGCAATGGCTTTTTGGGATCCTATCTTTTTTTCTATCCGTTCTTTTACATAAATAAAAAAAAAAACTCCCCAGCGATGATTTGGGCAGTCTTTCACAAACCACAAATTTTGATTGATCCGTTTTTTACGGTTTATCAACCCTTTGCAGGTTATTTAAACCCAGAAAAATATTTTCAACTTGTAAGAACATTTTTTTAGGAGTTACTAATTATTCAGTAATACAAATTTTACTAATTAACCCAAACTGGTGATGGGGAGAAGAATTGGATTCATACATTTTCTAAGGGAATTTGTCCTTAGAAGTGAATAAATTGAACCCGACTGGAATTGGAACTCAGCTGACCGATTAACAACTTCGAGTCATTAACCATTACACCACCCGCACATCCAAGATACAGCACTTGATATTTCCAAGCGGTCAACTATCTCGATACTGACCAGGCTCGACATTGCTTAACTTCGCTGATTGTATGGGAAGCGGTTTTTCACCGCTATATGGCCGTAAGTAGTATGTAAAGACAATATATTCGACAAGAAACTGGCTGAGAGTATCTGACGAAATAATGGAGTGATTAAAATGTTAAACATTGAATGTTTAAATCTCTAAGGAATTAAAAATTAATTTATATAAGAATAGAGAAATTTGGTTATAGTCATAAAATCTCGTAACAAACAGGCTGATGTAGGCATACCTAGTACCCATCAGTAGCTACGTAGAGCAGGGTTAAAATCTGAAATGAAATCCTTGCTGCATAGGACCAATTCTTGTTAACTAGAAATTATCAAGGACATATACAAAAAAATGTGTTGTCCCCAAATGTAGATTTTGCGATAAATATCCAGAAACAATGACTAATTTCTATCAGGTTTCACGGTGTTAGCACCCACTGAATATAAAACTCGGCATGATAGAGTGGGCCAATATCTGCACTGGAAAATCTGCAATTTTTACGGAAAGAAACCTGGAAGAAATTGGTATGAACATCACCCAGACACGCTTACAGTGATAAGACCTGTAACAATTTTATGTGATTTAACAATACACACAGACAGAAAAATCAAAACTAATCGGCTATACATCGAAATCAAAGACCCCAAAAAATAGAATGTGCTTTCTTATTGATATACCAATCCCTGCAGATTGTAAGATATCTTTGAAGATCTTCAAAAACTATCAAAAAACAAATTTCTTGAAGTGGAAATCTAAAAAATGCGGCACATAAGGACATCGGTAATTCCAGTTGTAGTTGGAGCACTAGGATTGATTGGGAAACGTTCTGATATACTCATTGAAGGAATTCCTCGCATGAAAGTAATACAAAACGTACTCATACGTACAGCTCAAATATTACGAAGAGCTTTAATGATGTAAAATGTGTGCGGTCTTAGATTTTTTTTGCAAAAATGCTCAGTGGAAGATATTATTTCTCAGCTTAAGATTGGGAGCCAGAAGGAAATGTGTATACAACAGAAATCCAAGGAAATAACAATAATAATAATGATAATAATAATAATAATGTATGACTGTGCTCTCATTTTTGCAGACGCCAACTCAGGCATACTCGTGTTTGTTTAACACACACCAAGCAAAAATGTTGTTTTATACTACAACTATGAGCGGGACCATAGTCAAAGTTTGTGAGAGAAAGCGTATAATCTGGTGTGATCAGCAGTTTTAAAATCTCAGTAAGCTAAAACCCTCGGTCACGATGACTTGTGACTTCGGGCTAACACAACCGTCGACAAATTCCAAACAGTTTTGTCTATCCATTTTCGCTCACAAATCTTGGGTCAATCCGTGTTTTTTTTTCTCGAAGTCATTCACCACGGAGTCGCAGTCCGATACGATCAAGAAGTCATATGCTTGACAAATCAAACATGGTGAGAACTGAACCCGGGTTTCGTAGTCGGAACAAAAACGTTGCAAGCATTCGGTCATGTGATTCTTCTTCTTCTTCTTCTTCTTCTTCTTCTTCTTCTTCTTCTTCTTCTTCTTCTTCTGTGGAGGTATCAGAGAAAGTTATATCTTTTTTTTTTTAGCTAGTGACTCAAATATTTGGTGTGAACTGGTTGATCGATTATTTCAGCAGTTGACAAAACCCAAAGATATCATGGCTCATCATTTTTTGCAACCTGATAACTGGTAAATTTGAAAGTTTGTAAAGCAATAAAATCAAAATGTCACGTAATGTTTATCGGATCATTGCTCCTTCAAAATTCAACGGTTTATTTTCTGCTTATGAAAATCTTTTCGCCTTTTCCTTCTTTTATGGTTGGACAGCCGAGTTCGAAATTAAAAAAAATATTAATCTGATAAATTTTGTGATTATTTTTTTTCAACACGGTTTCAAATTCAATAAAGCATAAATAAGGATGATATTTATTTCTTATTTTTGAAGAAATAAAATACATGTAGCAAGTTTGGTTTGTTTTGTTTTACGGTATATCAACCTCAATGGGTTATTTAATGCCGACAAGATTTTTATTGTTGGTAATTTTTTTTTCAAAAATGTATCACTGGTATTTTTTTACTTTTCAAAAATATATTGCTGGTATTAAAATCTAATTTTACACTTTCTTAGAGTTTTGACCCAAGTATTTTTTTTAAGGGGGGGTACTATTCACCCATAGATGGGAGCCTATCAGGTACTAATACCCCGTCTCAGGGTGAACCTGGGAACATCATCAATTAACAGGTGATTCCACGCTCTTCAAAACCTTTTGATCAGAGGCATTGCTGCCGTATGTAGTTTATTGTCATACTCAGGACACCTCATTGGGTAGGTGAGGGTTCTTACCTCTCTGCAATTAACAAATCCTCCATCAAGTAAAAAAGAAAAAAATGCTGATATATCAATAGAGATTTACGAAGCTTATCTTAATCCGATAGAGGTGTGGAAGATTGTGGTGCACCAACTTCCTGAAAGGAAATGACGTTTTTACAGGACCCTGGATTTTTAATGGATCCCAAATACCGACGTTTAGCTTCTTCTTCTTCTATGTGATGTGGCCCATCAGGACGTGAACGTTCATGGCTCTTCACAACTTCCAGTCCTTTCTAGCTCTTAGCAGTGTTTGTCTTTTTGGTATCTTTCCTAAACCCTGTTCTAAATCCCATTTACACATTTCCTCGCTAATTAGGTTATTCACGGTTTTCCTATTTCCTTCAAATTGTCATGTGCTTGTTAAATTTTCCAAGCCCTCTTTCCTCATCATGTGCAATAGAAATGATGAAACATTTAAAATATTATCGAAATTCTTCTTCTTCTTCTTCTTCTTCTTCTTCTTCTTCTTCTTCTTCAAATTCTTCAAATTCTTCAAATTCTTCTTCTTCAAATTCTTCTTAATAAAATTAATCCTTTTGTTATCTCCCGTAAACCTTGCTTCACTACCCATTTACTAAAGCCCTCTAGGTAAGTTATGCGCTATTTTTCCCTGTCTCTCTTGCTTTCAATATGTCATGTGAGTGTTAAATTTTCCAAGCCCTCTTTCCTCATTATGAGCCCTAGAAATTTAATCTCTCGCCTTCTGATGTTAAGCATAAGTATCCTTTTTGTTTCCATTTGCTCTAAAACTTTGTCATGTTCAGTCCATGCCATGCTCAGCATCCCTCTCTCTAAACCCATTATATACCGTACCTATGAACACTAATGGGTATGCCCCAATTCTCATAGATACGTTGGACACTATTGTAAGTGGGGATAATATGCTGTCTACGCTGGCAGCTCTTGCCGTGTCGAACTCTCTGCCCGAAAGCAGAGAGGAACCTGGACAAGGCTATGCCGAAGAGCAGAGTCTCGTCCGGGGAGGTAGACAGATACCCGATCCTGCGTATGTGGGTGTCTACAGGCAATTTTTGCCTGAGCCAACGGGATCGGATTACCCGCACATTAAATTTGGCCTTTTTCCGCATCCTTCCTCGTGGGGAGGCAGGTAAATATCGTAATATGCTGTCTAGGTAGTCCATCAGTAGCAGTGTTTTACCTACTTTTTCGCCGCTGGCGAGTATTGTATTTTGTTGATGTTACAAAGATTACCATTTCTTTTTCAACCTCCGTTTTGGTTATTCTTCATTCAGGTTACTTTCTAGGTTACAACAAAACCATATTTCAGCTGCGTCAAGTTTCTTCTTCTTCATCTATGAGGAGATTGTCCGGCATTCACTGCCATAAAGGAGGACTGATATTACGTAAGAATTCAGCAGTCTTTTCATTGTTTACGGAAGAATTACGCCAACAGTGATTTCCTATTTGTTCAAATGTGACTTAGTATTTTTATTAAATTTACATAAGTGTCATGTATTTGTTTTGTTACTTCCTCAGCCCAAGCCGGTTTGCTTTTCCTGAACTCAAAAGGCGAAACGTGAAAGTAAATGGAATTATTTATTGTTACAGAAACAGAGCGCAAGGAAAATACATACTTGCAAAGGCACAATTCATCAATCATACACACATAGACACGCACGCGCGTGTGTGCGCCCAAGGTGGTTTCTTAATAATCTTTAGATGCAATGCTGTATCTAAACTGCTGTAGAGAGACCACAGTTGTTTTCCCTTAGGTTGAGCTCATGTGAGTTCGTCCTCTTTAAAGAGGAGAACTCTTCTGTCCCTTTTCATTTTTTTTTTTTTTTTTGCTTCCGTTTTTTAAAGAACGGTCTCTTTACCTTCTTGATCACCAGGGCATCCACACACGTGGAAACTAGTTAACATGTGCACAGCCTAGAGTGGAGGAAAGAAAAATGTAATTTCTATTCACTTATCTACGGACGGTCAAAGGTCAATAAGTTGGTATATTATTTCTTTGTTCTCGTTCTGTAAACATCCTCGTTCCCTTGGACAGTATGAACAGCCATTCGTTTTGGGACATATGTAAATCCTTTTAATATAAGTTGTTTGCCTTATTAAATGTTTTGTTTGTTACGGTCGCATATCTCGTCTTTCTGTATTCGCATTCAGTGTTAGAGTATCAATAGCTACGCTAATGCTAATACTATGTTGACTAATTTCCAAAAAGAGACTGTCCGGTTGTTTCATATAGCAGTATTAGTATAATAGTATCAGTATACTACTGATGGCTAAAACACATTATTCTTCCTAATACTAAATAGCCGGTAAATTATGGCTGGCTGATAAACCATACTAATACTACTATATGAAACAGCCGGACAGTCTCTTCGCAGATAAAGGGACGTGAGGCAACAGAGATGTGGTTCTGAAGATGGATGGCAAGAATATGATGGAATGAACATGTAACGAAGAAGTTTTAAGAATTAAAATTAGAAAGAGTTGAAATTTGTAGGAGAAACTGATGATATAGTTCCTGGAGAATGTCACACTCACAGGGCTATTTTAAGAAGGACAAGTAAAGCAAAACAGCGACTAACTTACTCTATGAGTTTGGGTGAATGGTTATTAGAACAAGGAAAAAGACAGATCGTAAAGTACCATAAGTTACTTAGAACAACAAGAGACATTGTGGAGAGCCATGAACGCCGACGACCTGAAG